GATGGATGGATGGATGGGTGGATGGGTGGGTAGGTGGGTGGATGGATGGACAGATGGATGGGTAGGTGGATGGGTGGGTAGGTGGGTGGGTGGATGGATGGATGGATGGGCAGATGGATGGGTGGGTGGATGGATAGATTCTAGATATAGAAAATTAAAAAAGAAGGAAAAAAGGAAGGGCGGGAAGGAGGGAGGCAGGGAGGAAGGAATTAGGCTTCCATCCAAAGCCTGTACGCCTCTCAGAGGACCCCCCTCTAAAGTTGTCAGCCCCCAGTTCCCTTGTCTATAAAATTTCGGGAGCCCCTGCACTGCCAACTGCAGGGAAAGGACAGAGGTGCAGACCCCGAACACGGCACAGCACGGGCACAGAGGCCAGCGCCCTTGCTCCTGCTCTTGTCTGCACCCCACCGCAGCTACAGGTCTGGGTGTCACCCCTTTTATCCCTTTTATTCTCACATGAGTATCGGCAACAGATGCTGTAAAGCATCAGAGACCCCCCACTGAACTTTATCTCTTGTTTGCATGCACCCATGGGTCACTGTGATGGGCAATGTGTCAGAGGGGCCTGGAGGCCCAGCCAAACATCTTGGATTGGAGTGGGGGTGGGGGCTGGATGGGCCTGCTCTGCTCCTCAAAAGCAGCCTGTGGCTGTGAAAGGTGACCCCCAGGTCCCCACCCCAAAAAAACTTCTGTCTCTGACCCAGGCTTGAGGCTGAAGGACTCATGTGATGAGGCTGGGCCAGACAGCATCGTCCCTGATTAGACCCGCACCCAGTGCCTCAGTCCTATCCGCAAAGTCCCTCTAACCAGGCCACAAAGCAAACCGCAACTTCATGCCAGGAGCCCAAGTCTGGGACCCCTTCCCAGCAGGAGACCCAGCCCTGAGGCCCCCTCATGCTCCCCAGGCAGGGTCATGCAGTTCAACTGAGCCTCAAGAGTCGGCTTCATGCAGGAGTCAGCCTGACGGAGCCAGCTCTTGGGCCTCTTGCCTCAGTTTCCCCACCTGTAATATGGAGATGAGACAAGGGTCTATATTGTGGACTGTTGTGAGCATCTCGGCAGTCAGTCCCAACATCTAATGCTGTCTACTAGCAGGAACACCCTGTCGTGGGGAGGCGAGCTGCTGCCCCCCACCCCTGTACCAGCACCCTGACAACAAGCTCATTGGGGGGCTTGATCTGCTGCTTCTTGTCCTTCCACCTCCAGGACCTGGCCTGGAGTCCACCGCACAGAAGGACTCTGGCATGCCCGGGAAGCACAGAAGCCAACCTGCCACCCCTTAGCAGCCACGTGGAAGCTCCTTTTCAGACTTCCCAGGCCCCAGCACCTGGCCCCATTCCAGCCCTGAGCCAGACAGGTGACTGACTACCCCAACCTCCACTTTTTCTGGGAGGTGGGGTGGTCCTCAGGCCAAGGTCTGATGTCACTCAGACTTGACCTCCGGCGTGATGGAGGTGCCTTGGCAGGCCCATTCCTGGATCAGTACAGAAAGGACAGCTCGCAGGCAGGGTGAGCCACATGTCCTCGCCCGTGGGCCAAGCTCCCCTGGCACTGAGACGGGCCAGATTGCTTAAATACCAGCATTCAAAGTTGGCGAAATCCAAGTAATCTGTGCCCGCACTACCTCAGTGTCAGGGCTACCTCCCTGTCTGCTGTCACCTCCGTGTCTGCTGTCACCTCCGCGTCCACAGCCCCCGAGTCTAGCACATTTCCAAGTGCGGCAGAAAGCACAGCTCCCCTCCGAAGCCTGCAGGGCTGTGTTCCCGGCACCGTCTGTAGAGCTGACATCACCGTGCTGGCGTCACGTCCGAACGTGACTGGGTGAGGCTGCGGGGTGACATCCGGGGCTCCCAGGGACTCGGGGCTGGTGGAGGTGAGGCCAGCGTGTGAGGCAGGACAGACATTGCAGCTGCTCCACGGAAGGTCTGCTGGAGGCTGCATGAATGGGACAGTCACCTGCTCACCCTTGCTTGGCCTGACCTGCCCACTGCATGACTGCCGGGCAGATGTGCATGGACGAAGCAGAGTGTGTGTGTGTGTGTGTGTGTGCGTGCGCGTGTGTGTGCGTGCGCGTGTGTGTGCGTGCTTAAAATCGAACTATGAAACAGACATTCGGGGAGGTGAAAACAAATCACTGTGCTGGGTGGAGACGGCTTAGGCCTGGCCATGGGTGTGCATGGGAAGCCATGCCAGTCCAGTCTGGAAGCCCTCAGTGTCCGAGCCGGGCCGGCTCATGTGTCTCCACCCAGGGCACCAGCGCAGCAGCCGCTGGACAGCGACCATTGTCCTCACTTGCTGGCCTCACCTCCTGCACCGCCCAGCCGGGCCCCCACTGGGGGGGCTGGGGGTGGAGGGAGGTCTGTCCACTAGGCAGACCATGAAATGACCCGTGACGGGCAGGAGATCAAGCTGTGGTGAGGTGTCCACAGTGGGGAATTATAAAGCTGAGTCTCCAAGTATTTGCATTGACTGTGCTTTTCAAGCAGAAATGCCTGTTTCAGAGCTGCGGCGTGCTTTAACAACGGTGACGCTCAGCAGCTCTTGTTTAAATCTACAGACTCGGGAGCAAAGTTGGCACGGAGGCTTTCATCTGCTAATGCTGACACCCTGCTGGAAGCGGTGGACCCCCAAGTCCTGGCTCTGGGTCTGCAGGGGGCTCAGTCTGCAGACCAACCCCTTCACCCAGCCGGCACCCCAAGGGAGGGGGGAAGCCTGACCCCCAGGTCCCAGAGGAAAACACCAACAAGTGATCCTGAGAGACTTGCGTGAGCAGATACCCTCGGACCTCTGCCCCCTTCCTGGCAAAACCTGCACCCCAATGCCCAGGTGCAGCCCGGACTCCGTCAGCAACATACACCACCCTTACTTCTGGGTGTGTGTGTGGGGGGGAGTAAGTGTGTGGCTGTGCGAGGTCACGGTCGTGGAAGGACCCAGGGTGCGTCCCCAGAACCTAGCCACATGGCCACTGCACCCCAGCCTCGGGGCACAGCCTCTGGGGCGTGGGGCCTGGGCCCTGCTGCCGACACAATGCTGAGTGTGCCTGTACACTACTGGGGGTGACTGCGGCCTGGAACATGCAGCCTCAAACAGTAGGTGGCAGGACACGGGGCCCTCCCGCCAGGCCCGCACTGGGCCCTGACCTGTGGGTCTGAGAACAGCAGCCCCGTGACTCCGTGCTTCACCACAGCTGCGTTGCCTGGGATGTGCCTCGCCAGCACCGGGACCTCCAGGGCCATCGCCTGCAGAAGAAGAGACACAGATGGGCCCGGCTTGCAGAGCAGCAGGACCCTGCCTGCCCACTTCCCGCAGCCCCATGGCGCGGGGCTCCCCCGAGACACGCGGAGGTGCCCACTGCACTGACCAGCTCTGGGAAGCGCCAGTGAGCCTGGCCTGGCGTGACCGCTGCAGTGTCCGGAGGAAGCCCAAGTGTTCACTGGGCACACCTCAGCTACTACGTGAGGACGCCTCTTCAATCCCCATCATAACTTCCAACACCAGCCTTACGAGTGGCCCCGACATGTCTCCTCGCAGACGGGCAGGGAAAAGATGGTCCCCAGCAGCCCGACACACGCAGGAGAGGCTCCCCGGCTCTCAGGCATGGGGTCAGCCCGGGACCAGCACCCACTAGGGCAAGAGCTCCAAAAGGTGCAGAAGCAGGTGTTGGGCTGACTGGGAGAGGCCTCTCCCTGCTCCCTTGCTGCCATCTGGGAGCAGACCGAGGAGGGCTTAGCGCGAGGCCGGCTCTCCCCGTGTCCATTCGGGCTCCCACACAGGACCGCCTGCCGGCTCCTTCCCAGCCTGGCCCAGCATGTGCGCCACAGGGCCTGCCTTCCCTGGGTGGGGGCTGGAGGAAGGGCCGGTGGCAGCGCCATGTCTGGCCCTGGCTGTACCTGTGGCAGCTGACGTCACCCTTCGTGGCCGCGAAGGGGAGTGAAACTCCCCCCACCACAGCACACTGTAGCGGCTCGTGACACCAGGGCCTCGTGGTGTGCATGCATGTGCAGACAGGAACGCAGAAGGGGCTCAGAGTCACTCATCCTTTGGGAAACAGCAACCAGAGCCACACCCTGGAGGCCTGCGATCACCAGAAAGATGCTTGTGGGTGAGGAATGGGGCCGTGGGGCCACTCGCACCGTTGGGGGCAGAAGACAGTATGGACATTTGTAAGGCTGCCTGGCTTTTCCCCAAAAGCCTAACGGAGCCCTCACCAAGGGGGCAGCAGTTTCGCTTAGAATGATGTGCCCAAGAAAAATGAAATCTTGTGACCCCTAGAGCAGGTGCCAGACCCCGTGGGTGCAGCCGGGCTCCCAGACACCAGCAAGTGGGGACAACTCAGACACTCATCCACATTAGACTGTGGTCTCCAGGGTACCAGACATTGGGAAGGTATCAGCTCTGCTGGGGGCACCTTACCCCAAGAAAGGAGCCAGACACAACAGGGGTCGTGAAGAAGCCCTAAAATCGACAGCTGTGGCGGAAAGGTGGCGGCCCCAGCTTGTGAGTGTCTGGAAATGAACTCAAGAGCACTGCTGGGAAGAGCGCATGAAGGCAAGGTGGACCCTGGCCCGCAAAGTGGACCCTGGCCTGCAAAGCTGTCCCATTGAAGGACCGCGAACGCCATGCGAATCCCCCACCTTCACTCCACCAACATCAACCACGTGTCCTACCGCCAGGCCCAGAGCCCTCAATTTTCATCTGCAAAGCAGGTAGCCAACATATTTGCTGGCCCAGCAATGAGCACTCCACTGCTGGCTCTTTATGGTCACAGAGACAAAAACAAAAAATGGCAGCAAGTCTGGTCACTCCCTACAACTCAAGGACGGCGCCTTTCTGACGATATGCCTTGTGCTTTGCAGTTCTTCAAACAGCACCTGTATTTGCTTCTTAAAGATTGGTCCAGTTGGGACAATAAGTAGACTCTTTCATCAGCACCAGCCTGGACCCTGACTCCTGTGCTGCACCACTGCTGTGGGCCACCTGCTGCTAAAATGATGCATCTTGTAGTGGGGGTGTTGTGGGGAAGCCCCACCCTCAGGGGCCCCTCACCTGTGTTCACTGGGTCTTCAGCATCCTGGCACATGAGGCAGAGGTCTGGGACCTCGTGGCTGGCAGATATGCCCTCCCCTGGGTAGATGGGATCTGTCCCTCTCCTCATCCAAGGGGACCCCGACAGCCTCCCTTCAGTGTGCCTTCCCTCTCCAAATTCAGTCACAAATTCAGTCCAGGAGGAGGGATGTGACCTCCACCGTCCTCACTATCCTCCACTGTCCTCCCACTCTGCTCCTGCTGCCTTCATTTCCTGCACAGCGGCTGGTTACAGGGCAGGGAGAGGGGCACCCCAGCAGGCAGGTTTGGGGGTTCAGGTTCTGCCATCCACTGCATCAAGACAAAACATATAAGACCTTTAATGGAAAGGAACTTTAATACAATCAATGTGCAATAAAGAAAAGACAGAGTGTAGTTTCCAAATCCAGCACCCAAAGTTACCCGTCCCCTCGTGAGTAAATGCTCATCCACACAAGGTTGGCCCAGAGCAAGGCCTGAGAGCCTGCCCAAGTCTAAAGCACCCTCCAGTGGGGAACCATAGAAAAGGGTCAGAAACAGCCAGACAAGTCTGGAAGGAAAAGAGCAAAATTAAAAGCAAGATAAAAGCTGCATCGTCACCTCCCCACGGGCCTCACCCAGCCCAGGACCGAGAAGCCCGCACAGCCTCTCCACACGTCTCTGCTCCACGTGCCGCCCCAGGTGACCTCCCAGGCCCCCTCCTACTCCCCCTCCTGCTTCCTTCCTGCTTCCTTCCTTCCGGTCTCCTCTCCCCCAGCTTCCCTCCTCCCTGCCCAGCTCCACCCTCCTTGGGTGGGCCAGGAAACCTGGAAACTCCCTTTTATTGGGGGCCCTCCTTTTGTTACAGGGAAGGGAGAGAGGGTACCCCTAAACCCCTAAACCTGCCTACTCTAAATAGGTTCTGCCATCCGTCACATCAAGACAAAACATAAGAGCTTTAATAGAAAGGAACTTTAATACAGTGAGTGCACAACAAGAAGACAAAGAATATAATTTCTAAATCAAGCAACTGAAGTGACCCATCCCCTCGTGGGCAAAAGTCCATCCAAAAGGGACTGGCCCAAAGCAAGGCCTGAAAGCCCGCCACAAGACTAAAGCACCTGCTGGCCGGGACCCATTAAAAGGGTCCGAAACGGCCAGGCAAGTCTGGGAGAAAAAGAGCAAAATCAAAACCAAGATAAACACTGCCATAGTCACCTCCCCACGCGCCTCTCACCCACATCTGCTTCAACCAGTCCAGGACCAGAAGCAAGCAAAGTTTCTTCACCTGTTTCTCTGCTCCATGTGGCTTCCTCAGGACTCCTTCTGGCTCCCCATCCTGCTGCCTTCTTCTCCAGATTCTTTCTCTTCCCTCCTTTTCTCTGCTCAGCTCCACCCTCCTTCTGAGTGGGGCAGGGAACCTGGAAACTCCCCCTTTCCTAGGGGCCACCCTGTTACTGTCACAGGCCTACTTCTCCAGAGCCTGATCTAGCAGTGGGTTTCCAGGCTTCCAGCCTGCCCGCCCGCCTTCTTTCAGCCCCTAAAAGGACAAAATACCCCAAGAATGGGGCCCCTTGCCCCTGGCGTTGCCGGGCTCTGCAGCCTCCTCACCCAGCCAGCTCAGCACTCACACTCCACCAGGCCCTCGAGCTGAATGTGGCAGCACTCTAACCATCGGAGCTCTGAGGTTCCTTTTCAAAGTGGTAAATACCCCCCTCCCCCCACACACACACAGTTACCATAGTTGAGATGACACAGTCACAACTGTTCCTGAAAAGCCTTTGAGTGAGAGAACCTTCCATCGCTGGGGCCCAAATGAACCTGCAATCACCAGAACCTGGGCCTGGAGCCAGGAGCATAGGAATGTTCTTTGTGTTCCTCTCCTTTGGGAGTGTGTCTCTGATCTGAGGGGAAGAGCTTTAACCGAAGTCGCCCCCCCTTTCTCCCCTCCCCCAGGTTCCCTGCCCCACCCAAGGTGCTGGGCAGGGTGGGGAAGCTGGAGAGGAGACTGGAGAAGGAAGGAAGAAGGAGGTCCAGAGCGGGCCTGGAGAGGCATGTGAGCAGAGACAGTGAGGAGGCCACAAGTGCATCTCCGCCCTGGACTTGCACCGCGGACTTGGGGGGACATGGAAGGGGCACTTGAAAGAGACAGAGACATGGGGGGAGCCCGGTGGGGAGGTGACTAGGCAGCCTTTATCTTGATTTTGATGTTGCTTTTTTCCTCCCAGACCTGCCTGGCCCATCTGCCCCCCTTTCCTGTGGGTCCCACTGTAATAGGGAGGTCCCCAGAAAAGGGGGAAGTTCCAGGTGCCCTGCCCCCACTTGGAAGAAAGGTGGAGCTGAGCAGGGAGAAGAAGGGATCTGGAGAAGAAGGAAGCAGAATGGAGAGCCAGAAGGAGACCTGAGGGAGGCACAGGGAGCAGAGAGACATGTGAAGAAATCATGTTGCTTCTTGGCCCTGGACTGGGTGAAACATGTGGGTGAGAAACATGTGGAAAGTTTCACTATGGCAGCGTTTATCTTGATTTTGATTTTGTTCTTTTCCTCCCAGACTTGTCTGGCCATTTCGGACCCTTTTCTTTGGGTCCCGGCCAGAAGGTGCTTTAGTCTTGTGATGGGTTTTCAGGCCTCGCTTTGGGCCAATCCCTTTGGGTGGACTTTTACGCATGAGGGGATGAGTGACTTTGGGTGTTTGCTCTAGAAACTATATTCTTTGTCTTTTCTGTATTGCACACTCATTGTATTACAGTTCCTTTCCATTAAAACTCTTACGTCTTGTCATGATGTGGCAGATGGCAGAACCTAAGTTTGGGGGTTCAGGGATGCCCCTCTCTCCCTGCCCTGTAACAGATTTGGTGCCCAACATGGGGCAGGGAAACTGGAACTTACCCTTTTCCTGGGGACCACCTGTTACACCACCCAGAGGGGCCTTATCCAGAGGCAGCTGTCGGGGCTCAGTGGTCTTGCTTTGGGCCAATCCTCTTTGGCTGGACACTGACTCACTCGGCGACAGGTGACTTTGGGTGTTTAACTGGAAACTATTTTAACTCTAATCTTCCCGTCACACACTAATTGCATTAAAGCTCCTTTCCACTGAAGGTCTTACACACTGGAGTATGTTTTGCCTCTATGTGGTGGATGGCAGAGCCCATCTAGAGGGGGCAGGTTTGGGGGTCCCGAGCGCCCTTCCCCTGCCTGTAACAGGTTGAGCAGTGGGTTTCTGGGGCTGGGAGAAAGCTGAGGAAGACTGGGACAGAAAACAACTTTTTGCTTTCTCTTCACTTAATGCTGGGCTCCATAATGAGCTGCACTTGAAGTGGGGGGCCGGTAAGGGGGTATCTGCCCCGCTGCCCACGCCTGCACGCCTGCCACTCAAGTCTGATTTTTGGAGCTCATCAGTTAGGGAAGAAAAAGTTTTAGCAAACGGACCTGAGGAAATAAAGCTAATTGTGCACCATCAGCCAGCTCTTCCTTTGTTCTGTGATTAACTGCTTGGTTGTCTGAACCGGCTCCGCTGGTGGCAATCAGAACTGCCAGCAGATGCCTTTCCAGAAGTGCAAAAGGTTTGACAGCAATTTGTCTACGAGGAAGCCTGTGTGTGAGTAATAAATCATTCCACTTTACCTTTCCTTGAGAAGCTGAAAAGAGGGGTATTTACATACAACTGCACAATGGACAGCCCTAGCGCCCTAAGGCAGGGGCGAACCTCCCAGAGCCAGGGACCCAGCAGCATGCAGGAGGGTGGCAGGCAACTGGCCGAGGGTGAAGCAAAGGCCACAAAGGCTGAATCACTTCCAAATGCGCCCAGCACGTTTCACAAGGGAGCAAGAGGTGACAGTGAGTGAGCTCCCAACTCCACCGCAAAATCGGGTTTGTTTTCTGCTCTTTAAGATGAAACCACACAGGGGCCTCTATTGTGGCACATGGGTTAAAGCGCAGCACTATGAAGCCATCCACAGCCCCTGCAGCACGAGTTTGATCCCCAGCCTGGGAGCTGACACTCGTGGAGCAACAGACCTCTCCTGTCACCCTGCTGCTGCCCTCGGCAGTGTGTTTCAGTGGATCCACCTCTTCTGCTCCCCACTCTGTCTCTGGGAGTCCTCTCACTCCCCACAACTCTGGCCTGTACACCGGTTTTTATTTGCACAATTAAATAAAACTTTAAAAAATGAAACCGCATATAGGGCCCTCCCTGGTGTCACGATGGGTTAAAGCGCAGCACTATGAAGCTATAAGCTATCGCAGCCACTGCAGCACGAGTTGGATCCCCGGCCAGGGAGGTGACCCCCATGGTGCAGCAGACCTCTCCTGACCCGCCCACTGCTCCCCTCAGCAGTGTGTTTCAGTAGATCTGCCTGTTCTGCTCCCCACTCTGTCTCTGGTGCATCCTCTCACTGCCCTTGCACCTCTGGCCTGTTCCCCAGTTCTGTATGCACAAATAAATAAATGTTAAAAAAAAAAAACATATATAAAGAAATTGTGAAGCTCCCAACATCACCATGTGACTTTCCCCACTGTGGTTATTCGCCATTTCTCAAATGTGCTCAAGTCCACACACCACCTCTCCTGGGAACTAAACACAAGAATCTAACCTGCAAGGGCCAGATGGCATAAGCACCGAAACAGGAGGCTGGGTATACCCTCAGACAGACAGCGCTGTCCTAGCCCCTAAATTCCAGGGTGTGGAAAACCCTGGAAAGGGGGAGAAGTGAAGCAAAGCAGACCTCTGGCAATTACACACCTTCATCCCAACACCCAGCTGTCCTGAAGGGGTATTTAGAGCCCTCAGCTTGGAAAGGAAAGGAGCCCGCCTTCAGCCTGGTGACACGCGGGGCTGGGTGGACAAACAGCACCCTCACGAGTGAGAAAGGGGGTAACAGGCAGCTTCCGGCTTCCAGTTCAGGACCCCAGGGGCGGTTACCTCCAGAATGGCCGCTGACATGCCCTCGGAGACAGAGCTGTTCACCAGGGCGAAGCAGTTCTTCACCACGGCGTGGAGGTCTGCCTGGGCCATCTCTCCCACCAGCCGGACCCCCGCGCTCCTGAAACAAGGCAGGAGGGTTAGACCTGACCTGGGGGTAACACTGAAGGGGGGCCTCTGTGTAAGATGAGACATGAGGGTGCCTTGCTGCCGGCACCCTCGGAAAACAGGAATAGGGGGACTGTTCCCCTCCCCATGCCTGGGGAGGCGGAGGAAGCTGGGAACACACCTGCTTCTTGTTTGAAATGCGTGTGATGAAGGACATGCGCATCTTGGGTACGGAAGGTCAGCGACCGGCTGTGCCATCTTCTCTGTATGCTTTAAACATACTTTTCCTAACACATACTCAAACTTCTTTCAAGTCATTGGCTAAAATGCTAATAACACATTTACATAATAAACAGAAAACAAGGCCACAAATGCCTGCTCAGAATTGACAGTATTTCACTATGCAATGAAATACAGTTCTTGCTGTTTTATTTTTCATGCAGCCACTCAGACACCCCCTCCTGCCTCACCCCTACTGCTTGTATGCTGGTGCCAGCCCTTCCCAGCCCTGCCCACCCCTGCACACTGCACCTATGGGCAACATAGGCAAGGAATCTCCTAGCGCCCTTGCTGCTGAGGTGGAGGGGGGCTGGCCCAAGTGGGAGAGCCTGCTGGCCCCAGTCTCTCCGGTCCTATAAGATGGACAGAGGGAGCCCCGCAGCGGCCTGGCTTCCTGAGGGGCAAAGGCCACTGGATAAGGAACTGAGTGCTGGGAGTCCTGGGAGTGTGGGCCAGTGACATCAGGCGTGTGGGTCCCAATGTGCCCCAGTGCATCGAAGCCAAAGGTGGGCTCTGGGAGGGCAGATAAGCCCTGTGTCACATGAGGGGGACAGAGTGCTCCCCAAGAAGCACCTGGTTCTGCCATCACCATCAGGCTCAGGAGCTTGGCGAGCCCCCGTCCTCCGCTTTGGCCGTGTGACCGGTGACAGTCATCTCACAGTGAGGCTCACTGGCACTTGCAGCGGGGAGCATGGCGTTCCCACAGGAGCTGCCTCTGCCCTCTCAGGGAGCTGCTTCTGCCCCTTCCACTGATCCTTCCTGGGGTGCAGGAGTTAGGGTGTGAGGGTCCCCAGTGGGGGTGCCTATGATGTGCGGATGCAAGGAAGGCCGCATCACTTTCGGGGCTGGGTGACCCCAGCTCTGCCCCAGTCACCCGCTCTCAGCCTGCTCTTACCTCTCCACCTTGGCCTTGACCGCTCTGGTAAACACTGGGTCGACCTGCAAGGACACAAAGGCAAACTCAGGAGAGCCGAGGCGGTGCAGCTGCGTCTCAAGAAGACTCCAGGCTCCAACAGAGCCAGCGGAAGTCCGCAGAAAATGCCGGAACAACAGGAGGAAGAAGACTAAGGGGACTCTGGAGGATGGGACACTCCTGGGGTGTGCTGTGGTCTGGAAGGGGGTCTGGTGAGCCCCCACGTAGGGCAGACTGTGTACCCCTTGGTCACTGTGTCACACTGAAGTCTGCCATAACAAATTCAGCTATAGTGGGGAAGCTGTGGTCATCCCCGGACCTTGCTGACAATAAACCTATTTCACAGTGGCCTGGAGCACATCTGGAAACAGGCAGTATCACACTCACAGGCCCGTGACAGCACGGCCCAAGGTGTGACCGACTCTGCCAGGTCAGAGGCTGCAGACACCGCGTCGTCCCGGCCATGAGAGCACTTGTTCTGAGAGAGCCCAAGTGCTGGCCTCGTCCAGAAGCAACAGCGGGTCTGCTGTAACCACTCAGGTCCCTCCCTGGGGGGTTACAGCACAGTACGATGAAGCCAGCCGCAGCCACTGTAGCATGAGTTTGATCCCTGGCCAGGGAGTGACCCACAGGGCACAGCAGACATCCTCTTGTGTCCCCGCTGCTCCCCTCAAGCAGTGGATTTCAGTACATCGGCCTCTTCTGCTCCCCACTCTGTCTCTGGTGAATCCTCACACCCCCCACACCTCTGGCCTGTACCAAGTGATTCCCTCACACTCCAGCAGGGGGCGTGCTCTGGAGAAGGGCTTTTGCCACCAGTTGCTTGCTGGGCACTTGGCCGTTGGCCAGGGTGGACAGCTGAAGCTGCGCTGTAGAGAACTCCTTACCCCTCCTCCTCGGGTGGGCTCGCAGGGCTAGGCTACGGATGCCAAGTGGCTACCAACACAATTCTACTTCTGAAGAGATCGTTAAAGAAAAAACTTACAACTTGTCTGTGGCTATTAGCAGTCTGGACTTGCTGGCCAATTACTGTGCCGAACCCACGCTAGGTCCTTGCGCGCCTTGCTTTAGTGCTCTGCAACAAGCATTATCCCTACTTCCAGCTAGAAGATTTGGGCATCTGAGAGCTTGTGTGGCTAACGGCAGCAGGGTGTAGGGCCGGTGTCCAGCTCAGCAGAGGCCAGGTTCGGAAAGCCACGCTCTGCTGCTCACCACCACTTGCTCCAAGTTCACAAAGGTCCCGGGAACAAGGCTCAGCAAGGTGAGCCCCAGTCCTAATCCTGCCTCCTTCTCCCCACCACTCCCCTCCTCACCAGATCCCACTCTACACTGGGACAGCCTCCGTCCCCAAGCCCCCGCCCCCAGGCACAGGCAAAGCCTCCTCCCAGAAATTGCCCCCATCCCCAGGCACAGGGCCCTCCCTGGTGGCGCAACAGGTTAGGACGCAGCACTGCAAGTGAGCTGCAGCCGCTCCAGTGCGAGTTCGATCCCCGCCCCAGAGGTGACCCACATGGCGTCGCAGACCTCTACTGACCCCCCGCTGCTCCCCTCAGCAGTGTACTTTGTCGATCTGCCTGTTCTGCTCCCCACTCTGTCTCTGGTGAAGCTTCTCACCCACCACACCTCTGACTGTACCCCAGTTCTGGATTAATGAATAAATAAATCTTCTAAAAAAGAAACTGTTCCTGATATCTGGTGGGGGCTGCTCCCAAGGTTTCTACTGTCATACCAGACACAGGCCAGCGCCTGGCATCAGAGCATCCTCCAGCTGCTGTGCCCTGAAGGATGGTGCAGATGAGAGCGCCCCAGTGTGTCCTCTCATTTCCCTTGTCTGTTCCTTTTGGGGTGAAATGACCCTAAACAATTAAATTCCATCACAGCCCCAATGCCTAGTGCCAGTCAGGTTTGTGGCTCGGCATGTTCATTTTCAAATTCATATTTTACTTAACGATCATCTCCAGCTAGAAATTCCTCTTGAAGTTAATGGTACTGGCAGTTTTCTGCTCTCGTGATTAAATATTTAGGCAAAAATAATGTCAAGGCCAAAAAAAATCACATTTACAAGGCCGCTGAATTAGCTAACACTCTGAAATTTAACTGCAGGTGTCACGGAGACTTTCAAGCTGGAGTTCCCACTGCACTGAGCTCTCCACATTCACCTTCCACATCAGTTCATTTTCAAATCTCTTAGTGAAGCCAAGTGAAACAAAACCCAAGACAGAAGCAAAAAGAAGGGTAGATATTTTTGTTTAATGAAAGCACATGTTATGAAATTTTAAAAAGCAAAGCCAGGCAGACAGCAGGGAAAATTCTCATTTCTTCCTTCGGCGTTTATTTATTTTCTAGCAGAATATATTGTTTCAACTCCCAGGCTTAAGGAAAATAATCTCTGACATGAGGAGTGATCGCAGGAAGTCATTAAGCTGCCCTCTCTTCCCCGGGCTCACCCACGCTCCCTCATCAAAGAGCCTGCAGACTCGCCAGGCTCCCAGGCCCCGGCAAGCAGAGAGTGTGCTTCGCCCAATCGGCTGACCTGAGAAATCAAAGCGGCTTTACCAGGAAACCAAAGCCAAATGCAAACCGTCCTGTGGCAATATGGAGCCCCAGCGGTCCACAGAGAAGGCGATGCGGCCGGGGAGGTTTTGACTCAAGCCCGGCTAGCCCAAGTGACCCACCCCTCACAGGCGAAAGTCCTCACACCAAGGAGCAGGCAGCCTTGCACGGAGGGGAAACTGAGGCACAAGGGTGCCCTGCATCCAGCAGTCCTCCCCCCTCTGCTGCCCAGCCAGGCAGAACGGCCAGTCCACTCAGAGCCCGTCAGATTATGTTGTGCATCGTGAAGTTAAGTTTGGGGTCCAAGCATATTTTCCAGCCGTGATGAACAGAATAGCATGGCAGGGTGCTGCCTGCACTGACAGCGGGTGTGTTAGCGGGTGCATGGCTCAGTCAGGAGGTCCAGTGAAACAGTCGGTGTGCTGGGGGTAAAGGGAGTTTTCTGGGCCCCCCAGGATACTGGGGCCACCTGGACCTCTCAGGGCACTTGGGCCATTCTTACCCCTAGGATGACCCAGGACACCTGGATCTCAGATCCCCAGGCCACTTAGACCCTCTGGAGCCTACCAGAACCTCTGGAGCACCCAGACCCCCGGCATCCTGACCACACAGGCCACCTGGACCCCAGGCCCCATCTGCCTTATAGGTTGTGTCCACTCTTGGCTATATGCCCAAAAGTGACCTCTCTGTATTTCCAGAAGATATCAATTATCTTCTGGATAATTGATAAATTTTAAAGTCGTTACAATAAATTTATTGTAAAGACTTTAAAAGCCTCCAATTCTCGAAACCTCAGTCTGGTTTTAAAAATAAGAGGCTTTATTTCCTTAAAAAGAAAAATTGGAGAAAACAACTTATAAACTTAATTTTAGAAAACATATCAAAGAGCATCAAGGGAAAAACAGGCTGCCAACTTACTTCTGGACCAACGATCACCATGTACACAGTGGAATCTTCTTGATGCCATTCTAAAGGAAAGGAAAGGAGGGAAGCCTTGCTAAATGGTTCTAAGTCATAGCTGAAAACACAAGTTTGGTATAATCTACTCATCATATAGCTGATTCCAGGTCACTTTGCTTTTGTTCATATTGGGCAATTCAAATTACATCTAAAATACAAATACTACATTTTATGCTTTTAAGTAAAATATGAATTCCAGAATGTTCCATCATCCCTAATTTTTGCCTTCAATGGACTAATAAGCCACCGAGGCTCATCATGGCCCGTGGCTTTCTCATCGTGGCCCGTGACTTTGCCAAGGGCAGCGTCACTGGCAACCCAGCCAGTCTCCAGATGTGCCAGGCTGCGGCGGGTGCAGGCCATCTTCCCAGGAAATGCTTTCAGTTCCAGGCCCAGGGAAGAGCAGATAGCCCAAATCGCAGCAGAGCACGATGTCCTTCCCCACAGAGGGCCCTTGGGTGGGCCCACAGGCAGGTGACTCGGAGAACTTACCTGAGAAGGCATCCAGCAGGTACAGGGGGTCCTTGACTTGTCTCAGGCCACAGATCAGGAGGAACACATGTAGGTGGTCAGCACTGCAGTTGATCCCTGCAACACAGGGTGGGCACGTTTGGGGGGCTGGCCAGGTGGCCGCGCAGTCCTGCAGCTGTCACGCACTGTGTGCTGACTCCAGGGACTGGACCCCTACCCTGGCGGGAAGCCACACTGAACTTGGCTGAGTAAACAGAGGCACAGCTGTGCCCCGGGAGCGGCTCGAGGCTGCAGTGTGCGCAGGGGCCCTAGAGCTATTTAGACCCAATTCCAGTTGGGCAGAACAGTACCTTCGTGAAACTAGGAAGGTTTATATGTGACACACTCATGAACCAGGTATGTCATGTGGATGCATGCATTTATGAACTCAGCCCCCCGAGAGGCAAAGGGAGAGGTCTGCTTGGCCAGACAGAGGCTGCGGTAGGCCGTGCTGAGGTCAGGACCACATTCCAGGATGAGCTGTAGGTCCGGCAGGCCCCACCAAGTCTCAGTGGTCTCAACAGGCAGAGTCCAGAGGGCCCTGCAGAAGCAGGGCTGACCCACCCACCTGATGCAGTTGCCAAGCACTGAATCAGAAGCAACTCAAGGGGGTGGTGTTGAGTCACTGAAGGTCCAGGGTATAGCTGTGCAGGACAGCTGACTGCTTCAATAGAAATTACTGATGCAATTAACACAAGCTAACCCATAATGTCACCACTTACAAATTCTTATAACCAGATCTGACACCGAGCAAGGAAAAGGCTTCCATTCACACCACGCCTTCAAGCATTACTTAGAGCAAAGAGTTGCTTCTGTGCTTTTGTACGTTTTGAATGGGAACATAATTGCTCTGAATCTAATAAGATCCATGGGCACCACTCATCACGATCACAAAAGCTAAATAACAACAATGCATCACCGGCTCTGGAGGGAACTGTCACTGAGCGACTGAGATGGAGACGTTGCCTTAGCAAAGCTGTGGAATGACCACAGCCTCTGAGCTGCCTGTGGACAGAGTCCTGATGTCAAGTATCTCTACTGCTCCTCCTTATTCTGGACTACTGAATCTCAGCTGAGATACACGAACCTATAATTTACTAGACCAAAAGTTTAAGGCAGAAGCCATGTGCTGAATTTCAATTTGAGGTTTGAGAGACAAGCTCTCCTGTTTAATAAATGATAAAGGTGGGGGGAAATTTCCAGGAAAGGAAAGTAAGGTGTGAGGAAGCATCAACACCCAGGGGCAGACAGGTGTGGCCAGGTAAGTCCAGGAGTGCCTAGGTGACCAGGAGAACCTTCCATGAGTACTAGGGGTGGGGCATGATGCCAGGTGAGAACAGGGAGCAAAGTGTCTGCACCCATCACCCCAAAAACAGCCGTCACCAAAAAGGCCAGAAACAGAAGGTGCTGGAGAAGATATGGAGCAAAACAAGTGCCCCACTCTGCAGGTAGAAGAGCAGACAGGGCCAGCCCCACGGAAGACAGCATGGAGGCTCCTCCAAATACTGAGAATAGCTCTGCCATGTGATCCAGCAATCCCACTCCTCGTATTACCCAAAGAATACATCACTCATTTGAAAGGATAACTGCGTTCACTGCAGCCCTGGGAACGACAGCTGAGCTGTGAGAACTGCCTCAGGCCCAGCTACAGCGCAGTGGAGTAAGGCTCAGTGTACGTGCATGATGGGTGCTACTCAGTTATAGCACAGAGGGGTTTGCTCTTTGTGACAGCATGCACCGAACTGAAAGGGATCGTGCTGCGCAAAGAAAGTCGGAGGACAAAAAGCCAGGTGATTTCACTTGCGTGTGCAAGACAGAAAGAGAGCAAGGAACAGACAAACCACCCGGGAACCTGCCTACAGAGCTGGGGCCACCAGAGTGGGGGGCAGGGAGGGTCACGGAGGGGGTGGGCCCTGTGGGGGCATGTCCAGGACTGTGGGGGCCTTGGAGGTGGGGGTGATAGGAGCCTGCGCCCCTAACTCACTCACTGTGTTGGGCACCAATTTAACATAATAAAAAACGTACAATTTAAAAAAGAATTATTAATTATACAGGAATTATAAACTGTGTGATGAGAGACACAGGACATCATCGCCTCAATCAAGGTGGACCCCTCCAGCCCCGGGGTCTTCCAGCCTAAACTGAAACCAGGCAGGGAGTGGCAATGCATGTCTCAGGCTCAAGTGCCCGGCAGAGCGTGCAAGGCCCCTTCACCACCAGGTCTGCAACACGACAGAGACAGAGGACCTCACCTACCATGCAAATGCCGACCACAAGAGACAGAGCCACTGGCCAGGCCCTGGATATCCCTCAGGGCTGCAACCCAGCATGGCGGAGGTGGGGGTGGGGTGGGGAGGGAAACAGCCACAGCAGCCAGGCCTGCACCTTGGCACACACCCACAGCTCCTGTTCGCACACGTAAGCCAGAGCTGCAGCCAAGTGGGTCTCGAAGGAAATGTTCCTCGGAGCAGATTAAATCTCCTGGTGCCACACTAACCACTCCAGGGAAGACCCACGGAACACCCCACGGTACAGAGTCTGGGACCAACCATCCCTCTGGGAGTTAGGAGTCTTGTGAGGTGCCACCGTGTCCTGCGAGGCACCAGAGGAGAAATACCCAGCATGTGGGGAGGGGGACATGGCCCAGGCCTGAGCCGGGTGCTGGTGCCCCTGTGTGGTAAGACACGGGGCGGGGGACGGGCTTGGCTGTAATTCTGACTCAGTGCTGTGGCTGGGATGGACGTGCACACATCAGAAATCAAACCCAATGAAACGCTTACGAGTGCTTCCTCTTCAAGGGAAGCCAGCATTGGCAGAGAATGTGGCAGGGACCTAGTTTGCTGTTTGGGGAGCAAAGGACTTGGGGCATCCACGTGTGAGGGGCCAGGAGGCTTGGATTTTGCATTCAGTTTCTGCTCTGACGTTCTCAGCAGCACCTGCACCCCGACCCTGCCGGCTGTGATCATGGGGCACCTCTGGTCCCTGCCACCCCAGGAAGCAGTCCCTGCGGTTGGTCCTTCCTGATTATGCCACCTTTTGGCGTCTCCAGGGAGAAAAATTTTAGGTCAAAACAGTAGTCTTCTAGTAAGTCAAATTGAGTTATTCTAGCACCTTCCCCCAATTTCTAGGCTAGTCAGTCCCTAAAGCCAATACAGGCCAGGGTCCACTATGGGCCTCATGTGGGCATGGCCACACTGTCCGGCTTCCAGCTACCGTGCAATACAATCATGTTGACGGTCAGTGGTACTCGGTCAGCCCCGGCAAGGTAAGCACGTGGCAGGTGAGCCCGAGGCCCCGGCAGGGAAGCTGCTGAGAGCATCCTGTGGGCCCTGCCCCCACTCAGGGACAAAGGTTTGAACCTGGGTTCGGGGCACCCTCTGACACAGATTCCATTTACGTACTGTGTCTTTAAGAAAACAGTGAACACAGATGAACACTGAAGTCTTAGCTTCTTCATGGTGACATAAAAAAGGATAAAAAATCATAAAATAAAAATAATAAAAAAGAGTCTGTCAAATAAATGTATAGAATTCAAAATAATGCCAGAAAGTCATTTAAAAACTCATGATGGGGGGACCTCCCTGGTGGCGCAAGGGGATAAAGTGAAACACTATGAAGCCATCTGCAGCCACCGCAATACAAGTTCAATCCCCCAGCAGGGAGCTGACCCACATGGCGCGGCAGACCTCTCCTGACCTGCCCGCTGTTCCCCTCAGCAGTGGATTTCATCAATCTGCCTATTCTGCTGCCCACTCTGTCTCTGGTGAATCCTCTCACCGTCCCTGCACCTGTGGCCTGTACCCCAGTTCTGTATGCACAAATAAATAAATCTTAAAAAATGTATGTTTCTATATAAACACATGAAATTGCCGAGAACAGGCCACCCCAACACCAGTAGCAGCTCTGCTTGGTGCTGAGGCTTTCTCTGCTCTTCTCACACCTTCTCAGTGGTCATTTTCTCCTGTGAGCAACTGATAAAGCCATGGATGCCTGAGGCCAGCAGCCGCAGGGGAAGGAGGGCCAGCGGCAGCACCCAAATTTCAAGGTGGGGAGGGCAGCTCCGAAGGCCCAGGCTTTTGCAGCCCGCCAGCCAGGAGGCCGCCCCGAGGGCTGTCTCTGAGGCCAGAGAATGAAACTGTTCTCCTTCCCCATGTCCCATGTGAAACAAGCCTGTCCATTACTGCCCAGGGCCAGTGAGGCTGGAAGGTAATGGACAGCATGGACAGGTGCCCTTCACCAGGTCCCGGAGAAGGGTCTCTTACCCAAGCGCTGCAGAAAGGCGTCCCAGTTAAAGGTGGGGTTCGGCACAGCTGCAACTCCTGGGTCAAAAGGAAGAGAAGACATGGAGGTCACGGTGCTGTGATGCGAGTTACTTGGTGTGGACCGGGGTCTGAGGCGCTTCCCACATGGTCCTGGAAACCCCAAAGGGTTGTGGAGCAGGTGGGCTCCTGCAGTTCATCCGGCTGCAAACAGGGGTTCAAACAAGTGCTAGCACATTCAACAGGCTGAGGGGTGCAAGCAGAACAGCAAGGCTGCTGGTCCCTGGTGTCAATCAGACCCTGGCCAAAGACAGGGAGCCCCACCCCCAGCCTTGATCCCTACACACGCTTGTACTGGTGCACCCTCCTTAAAAAGGGGAGGTCGGAGAATGGGTTTACTTGATGAGTCTGTAGCTGAACATGTTGCTGAAGTCAGGGGCAACAGCACCAGGTAATGTGCGCTGTGCAGAGGCGGGCTGAGGCCAGCCTGGGGGCTCAGGGCCATGAGGACCCCGAGGCTTGAGCTCTCCATTGTGGCATGCCCACCTGCAGCCCCCTCAGAGACACTCCCTCCATGGTTTCTGTCGGACCCCTTGGAGGTTGCCCGGCAGTTTGGGAGATGCTAGGACTTCATGAAAGCTCATCAAAGGCGCCTCTGGGAGGGCTTGGTGAGCCAGGGCCCCAGACTCCCCAGACTGAAAGAGCAGCTCAACTTTGGTTAGGTGACCAAAACCCAGGAGGAAGGGGCCCTCGCTGCTGTTCATTTGCTGAGTGATGGCCAGCACAAATCCCTCTTCTGTGGGCTTCCCAACACCCCTGACAATTACTCTCACAAAGTAAACAAAAGAATCCTCCGACTAATCGGGGTTGCGTCTCAGGCACCCCATTATCATCCATACACTTTCTAGAGAATCCCAAAGATGAGGGTCCATTTTCATGTTGTATACGCATCGGGAAAGCCTCACCTTGACTCTGGACGTAGATCTTACCCTGCACGTGCGGCTTTGAAAAAAGGAGAAAGGAAGGCAGTAAATTTGACGGTCCATTGTAACAGCTTTATAAAATCAAAATGTTCACCCAAGAATTGTCTAGGAAAACCACCCAAAGAATCAGCCCCACAGCCGCTCACACACCAGTCACTCTGCGGGGACAGAGTCACCTCTGCCCTAGGGGATCCGGCCCATCACACGTCAGCTGTCAGCTCCGCTGGGAAGCATAGAAGCCCCTCCGTTAGGCTGAAGGCACTACAAGGCTACACACTCTGTTAGTAGAAAGGTTATCGAAGCTCAGCGCAGAACATGCAAGGGGCAACCCCATCTAGAGCCCAGGAGGAGAAGCAGGACATTTGGGGTGCAACCCCTAAAGGATAAGAACCCCCCCCCAGTCTTGGACAAGGGAAGTGGGGAGGGGAGGCAGAGGGAGAGGCAGAGAGAGAGTAGGGAGGGGAGTTGGGAGGGTGGGGAGGAGGTAGATGAAGTGGGGGGAGAAGAGTGACCCCAAGGTTGTGCAGGTTGAGCAACAGTCACCAGCGCAGCTTCTTCATGAGTGTGAGACACTGATGGGGGGTCCTGCAAGGACCCCACCATAGCCTTGTTGGCGAGGAGGGAGAAGGCAAGGCTGGCAGGGGCTGCTCTAGACATTGGCACCAAGACAGAAACTTACTAGTCCTCCTGGTGCCAGGTAAAACCTCGTGAAGTTGGCAAAACTTCAGAAAGCTACTAGAGAGAAAAAGAATCCGTTTCTTGAGTTCACTTTGAAAGCGCGGCCCCAATAATACTAAAGTCAAGATGTTAGGGTGGAAGCAGGGGAGGCGGGTTCAGAGTGAGGGGCCCTGTATAGGGCTGGAGGTCCAAATGACACCAGTGCGGCTTCTCTTAAGGCATTGGTCACAATGCCAAGTGCATCTTCCTGCCCGTGGCCAGAGCCACAGGTCAGTGCAGGAGATGCCAGCTGGTGAGTGGACGGCCATCATGGCCACGGCCTGACAATGGGCCCTGGGAGGGACCTCACAGGTCTGTGGAAGTGGACCCACAGCTCCTGAGCCTCACATTCGGGGGACTAGCTCCAGGAGAGGGAGGCTGGCTGGGAAGAGGCGGCATGGGCTGCCCGGTCACCCTCGGCCCAGCCCCAGGTTCCGGCAGCAGGAGGGGCTGGGGTCTCGGAGGGAGCAGCTGAGATTCCCCAGTTCATCGAAGGGCAGGAATGCCCGTGCACCTTAAAATTGCAAAGCATTAAAAAAAAATAAAAAGTTCAAAAATCTCTTCTCTTGTAGTTAAAAAGACATTAAATTTCATGGGATAAAAGGCGAATAGCAAACCGCTGATATTAGGAGCTGCAGTGCCCAGCCCCAGAATACACCCTTGGTTTAACCACTTTTCCCTCGAAGGCAGAAGGCAACTTGGCCACAGGCGCTGTGGCCGGCCGAGAGCACCTCTGGCCAGGCAAAGGCAGCGAGGCGGGCTCCAAGCGCGGTGGAGTGGCCCTTAACTCAGAAGTTGGTGTGGGGTGTGGCACCAGGTTCAGTGTCATTTATGCATCAATAGATGTGGCCTGAGGGTGGCAAAATGGGGCATCCAGTCATGCCCCTATCCTGCCAGGAGCACGGCCGGGCACTGGACCCCCGAACAGCCCCCGTGCCCCTTCTGAAACAGTCCTTTCTCTACAAACACAGATGAATGAATCACACAGAGATCCCAAGCGGAATGACTGACTGGACGTGAGGACTTCTGGGCTGTTCTTTTGGGCTTGACCCGTCTCTGAGCGGTTTCTCCAAAATTGACTGAAAACCCGTACAAATAAGTGTCAAGTCCTATACAGGCTTTTAAACCAATGTCATCCAACTAAATCAAGAAAATCGAGTCAGAGAACAAGAAATGCCCGGACGTGGGTTATTTGCAGGCATTGTCATCCAAGAGATGAGGCCAAGGCCAGCTGGCTCGACTTGAGTTTGAAAAGCATTTTCCATTGAAATGTTCTAAATACAAATCAGCTTTCCTTGCCCGATATGGATGGTGGTTTGGCTCACCATGAAATAACTCACAAGCCAAAGTCTTGTGTGTCACCAGCCTGCAGGATTAACTCATTGATGCATAAAGTAAAGGAGTCTGGGGAAGGGGGGCTTCCCCTTATATGTCTCTGAGAAGCCATTACTGAAGTTGGCCGGTTACCAGATATAAAAAGCTAGTGTCCTGTTGGATACAGAGCTATAAATATATGTAACTTTGTAACAGACCCAAATGCTAATTTATGTCTTTTTATAATAGAATAACAGGCAGCCACAACTAAAAGATTTCTCACTTTTGATTAATTTAACCTTCTGCAGTGAAGCTTATTGCAAGGAGAAATGGCAATAAATATTGGTTTTGACATTTATGCACAAAGACATACTGTACAGGAGGCAAAAATATAAATTTTTCTTGGAAGTACAAGTTCTGACTTGGCTTTGTTAAAATCACTTGCTAAAGCTTCCAAGTTGCTCAAAGGGAATCCTGGCCCATCAGTACAAAGTGCTTAGAATATCTAGGCCTGGGCATATATATATTTAACATTTGTTTATTTATGAATACAGAACTGGGGTACAAGCCAGAGGTGCAGGGGTGGTGAGAGGATTCACCAGAGACAGAGTGGGGAGAAGAATAGGCCGATCAACAAAATACACTGCTGAGGGGATCAGTGGGCTGGCCGGGAGAGGTCTGCCACGCCGTCACCTGCAGGGCTGGGGATCGAACTCACATTGAAGTGGCTGTGGCCAGCTTGCAGTACTTAGTCATACCCCTTGCAGCACCATGGAGAGCCCTGGACATACATATTTTTTAATGCATACAAGAACTGGGGGATAGTCCAGAGTTGTGGGGTGTGAATAGATTCCCCAGAGACATAGTGGGGAGCAGAACAGGCAGATTCACTGAAATTCATTGCTGAGGGGAGCAGCAGGGAGACAGGTGAGGTCTGCTGCACCGTTTGTGTGTCAGCTCCCTGGTCAGGGATAGAACTCAGGCCACAGTGGTAATAACCTGAGACTTAACCCTTAGGTCACCAGGGAGGCCCCAAAGCTAGCCAGTCTTAACAGAAGTGATTAAAAACCATTCATTCGTGTAGGTGTTGGGAGTCTCAGAATTAAGATGCTCTGGTCTCCAGGACAAGGCATCCAACTTGCCAGACAGCCTGTGGCCTCCTCTGGAGACATTCCTGCTGCTGCTTGGCCCTGCCTATGTTTACATGATGCCCAGCGATCAAACCCCTGTGTGTGTGTGGTGGGGGGGGAGGCCCTAAAGCCTCACAAAAACAGGTTTACTTTGCAGGAAGTAGACATCACACTTGCAGAAAATTCTGCTTTGTACTGGAGGTATCAATGAGACATCCCAAGTCTTTCATTTGGGTGGCTGGTTTCTGATGAGGCATTAAATAAACATGTGGACACCTAAAAAGCAGTTCCAGAGACCTGAGTGGTCAAGTGCTGGGGAAGGCTCTTAGGGAGTCTGCCCTCACTGCCCAAAAGACATCATCCTGACCAATGACCACAACCCAGGGCTCCTTTACACACAGCCCTAAGGATGTCTGTATTCAGTGGTGCCAAATAAATGTGGACATTCCTCTTCTGGCTAGTGGAGTGCTGGTGTGTCACCTGAGGACACTTTCTAAGCATTTATTGGCAGGGAGGGGTGATGGAAGGCACCTAGCTGCTGCCATAGGCATCACTTTCTAACGGAAGAACAAGTGCCTCTCACTCAGTAGATGAAGTGGAATGCGAATCCCTAATAGCAGGCAGTCACTAAAGGGGTGTCCTGGCAGACACCGAATGTCACAGGGCTGACTCATCCCTGGAGTTCTTCACACAGTCACTGGGGAAGGGATGGCAGTGTCCAGAAGAGGGGCCTAAGGGTGCACGAGGAGAGAAAGGGTACCAAGGTCCCCTGATGGTAGAGATAACTCTAAAAGACCTGCACGCCAAGAGGAAGCTTGGAGATGCCAGGACGCAGGCTCAAGGTGTGAGGGGCGGGTGTGCGGTGAGCAGGTCAGCGCGAGTCCCACCCTGGGGTGGCTGCTGGGCCTGGGTGGGCTTGAGCCCCCTGCACCAGGGGCTGGGCACAGGGACCTGACACAGTCTGCCTCGTGTCAGCATTTGATTCCAAAAGAATTGCCAGGAGCCATCAGACACCCTGAAAGCAGAATCATGCTTGGCATATCGTCTCATACAGCAGCTTTCAGAACCTTCTTGAACAAGCACTAAAGCACTGAGCATAATTTAGGTGCCAGAAGTCAGCAACTCAAAGATTTCAAAAATTAAAAAAAAAAAACTTTTCACTAGAAGTGAACGCCAGGAAGCCAAGCTTAGTACCCTTCAGCTTAAGGCATGGATGGACCACGTGGACACCACTGTGCTTTCGAGAATTTGATAACTTTACTCCAGCTCAATTTTTTTAATGATTTATTTATTTATTTAAGAATTGGGGTGCAAGCTGGAGGTGTGGAGGCATGAGAGAATTCACCAGAGACAAATGGGGAGCAGAATGGGCAGATCCAATGACATACACAGCTGTGGGGAGCAGCGGGCTCCCCTCAGGAGAGGCCTGCATCATGTGGGTCAACTCTCTGGCCTGGGATCGAACTCAGGCTGCAATGGCTGCCCATAGCTTGAGAGCACTGAGACTTAACCCCTGTGCCGCCAGGGAGGTCCTTCCAACTCAATGTTCTTTTCAATGGTTCATAAATATTTGAATTTGGAGAAAGTGCTCTTAGCGGAGCACTTATTAGAAAAGGCCTGTGAACAGAGCAGTTACATGTTTCATAGGCCTGTGGGGCTTTGAGCCTAGTGAGACCTATTAAATAATAATCATCGCTTCTGTAGACAAAGGGGCCCGCCACTCAGAGATGCCTCTGACCTATTTTGATTTGGTGTGTGTGAATTATTTACATTTTCTGCTGAACGTCTGGTGAGTTTAGGAAGACGTTCTAAACTCGGACTAGAGTACCCAATTTTGCATTCTGAATGCCTGCCGCATAGGGTGATAAGGAGTCAAAATTGCGTATCTCCAGTGCAGTGAATCCAGTTCTCAGAATGTCCGCTCACACACCCGCAGATCAGTGCCGCACGGAACGAGCCAGCGCTGGACCTGCATGATAAACACTGACAACCTGTCTGCTGGACCCCACGGGCCCACTTGGGCCTCCCTTCACAAGTGGGTGTTGTGTCAGGAAATAACCCTACAAAATAATAGCTTGGCCTAAACAGAAGCATTTAGCATTAAAAGAGATCCAATAAAACCATCTTCATTGAAGGCCTCCCTGGTGATGCTAGGGTTAAGTCTCAGCACTATGAAGCTATCCACAGCCACTGTGGCCTGAGTTCCATCCCCAGCCAGGGAACTGGCCCACAGGGCACAGCAGATCTCTTCTGTCTCTCCGCTGCTCCCCTCCGTAGTGTACTTTAGTAGATCTGCCTGTTCTGCTCCCCATTCTGTCTCTGGGGAATCCTCTCACCCACTACCTGACACCTGTGGCCTGTCCCCCAGCTCTGGTATGCATAAATAAATCTTTTTTAAAAAAGAAATACCCCAAAATGAGTTTGTGCCAAGTCCATCAGACAGATCAATCACAAACAGTCCCCTAAATGGGGGCTGAAATTAACCCATGATTTGTTAAGTAAGCCTGTTCTTGGGGCAGTTCTGCTAATATGTCCCCCGCTATCAAATTTCATAGGAGCACAGGTTTTGGAAATCTGGAAGCAGGTCACTCTCCTCAATGAGTCCAGTGTGGAGATGAGTCCACCGTGTCAGCCACAGACACAAGACCATGGGGGTGGGGCACCCAGAAGCACTATGAATACAAAATGGACAATAGATCTCAAATTGAACTGAAAAATGTAAACTATCTCATTGGGAAGTTTACACTAATATTATCCTGAAGTAGCAGGATTTGGAGATGGTGGGTGTGCAGAGTATAGGCCAGGGGGGGTGGCCTTTGCACTCGGGCCCTGGGGACAGTCTGCATCATCGCTGGGGAGGGCTGGTCACAGCAACTGTCCAAGGGACCAGCCCAGGCCAGAGGGCCCAACCAGGAGAGTTTGGGGGTCTCAGTCGCCCCGGGGACTAAACTGAACTACATGGGCAGGGATCCAATAAATCCACCAGGTCTCCATAAAGAGACCCAATAAACTACCTGGACCATAAGCTCAGGTTATTTTCCCTGGTAGACAAAAGCCCATGCTTGTTGTCACAGGTGGAAATGGGGGTGGCGTACCTGACCCCACGAGCAGAGCTCCCTTCAGCTGGTTTCACCCTGCACCTGTCTGATAATAGACCCTCCCCTGAGTATAGGACTTTCCAAGTACTGGTTTCTCCCAACAGACTTTTTTGTTTGCTTGCTTTTTAGAAAGAGCTACCTTGAAACAGATGATATATGTCAGCTATTATTACTGTTGTTGTATCTCTCTCTTTTTTTTTTTTAGATTTATTTATTTATGCATACAGAACCGGGGTACAGACCAGAGGTGTGGAAGGAGAGAGGTTTCACCAGAGAGAGAGTGGGGAGCAGAACAGGCAGACTGACTGAGTTACACTGCTGAGGGGAGCAGCAGGTGAGACAGGAGAGGTCTGCTGCACCATGTGGGTCACCTCCATGGCTGGGGATCAAACTTGTGCTACAGTGGCCATGGATAGCTTCACAGTGCTTGCTTTAACTTCTTGAACCACCAGGGAGGCCCAAGGTAAGCTCTTATATAAGCAAAGCTTGAGACAAGTATTAAACTAGATTTTATGCTCAAAGCTATATTTGTTTGCAAAACCCCTTTCTAATATAACAGTGTGGTCTGCAGGAAAAGGAGAGGTTCCAGGTCCCCCAACCCACCCAAAGGAGGGTGGAGCTGAGCAGGGAGGAGAAGGATCTGGAGAGGAGACAGAAGAGGAAGGAAGCAGGATGAAGCCAGAGGAGCCCTGAGGGAGGCTCAGGGAACAGAGAGACATGTGACGAAGCGGCTGTTTCTCGGTCCTGGACTGGTTGAAGCAGACATGAGTGAGAGACCCGGGTGGAGGTTCACTATGGCCGTGTTTATCTTGATTTTGATTTTGTTCTTTTCCTCCCAGACTTGTCTGCCATTTCCTATGGGTCCCCTCCAGAAGGAGCTTTAGACCTGTGACAGGCTTTCAGGCCTTGCTCTGGGTCAATCCCCTTTGGGTGGACTTTTACCTACGAGGTGATGGTAAACTTCAGGTGTTTAATTTAGAAACTTTATTCTTTGCCTTTTCTGTATTGAACACTCATTGTATGAAGTTCCTTTCCATTAAAAGTCGTATATGTTTTGTCTTGATGAGGCAGATGACAGAACCTATTTACAGTGGGCACATCTAGGGTTCTCTCCCTGCTCTGTAATGCTTACATTTATCCCCTCTTCTGAAGTCACAAAGCAGTAAATAATTGCTATACACTTTTCTAATGTGTAATGATCAGCATTTGATTCTTGCTGGAGAATAATGAAGTAGGATTAGTTATGACTTGGACTGAGCCTGTTCCCTAAATCAAAGAGCACAAAACTATAACCAAGGTCGGCAATTCACAAACAATGAGCAAAGCTTTCTCAGACCAGTATTGCTGCTCAGAACATGGAAGTGACAGAAATCCCTCCACAAAAAAAAACATCATAAATTGTTACATCCGCCTGGCTCAGTAATGAACCTTTCTATTAATGACACAGTTTTCCATCTGCAAAAAAACAGTCAGATAAAGGTACTAAGCTGACCCTTATGGAGAAATCATCTACCAAGGTACAGAAAGCTGAAAGAACAGGTTCCCAGGTAAATTTGATAACTAATCCACCACTTTGAACCACGAACTCAAACCCACGCCCCACCTCTCATGAGCTTCCATTCCAGTGCCCCTTACACAGCATCTAAGACCAATTTTGCTGACTTCCAATTTGGCTCTTTGCTGACTTCTCAACTTCCCCGATCCTTGTGGCTGTAGTTGAAGAGTATGTTTCTAAAAACAAAGGATGCTGACCAGGGACCATACCCTCAGGTATAAGCAACCCCTGCAGGAGAACCTGAGTGACAGGTAAATCTGGGGAGCATTGAGATGAAGATGTCTTGGCTCAACCCTGCCACACCTGCCCTGCCAACCACCCGGGGCTCCTGGTTCTCAGTCCGCCTAAACGTGGCAGCCCCAGAGGGGCTGTTCTCGTACATCAGCTCTGACCTTGACACCAGGGCCCAGCTCTGTGCCTCCACCCACCCTCACCGGAGTCCTGGACTTGCACCCCAGCGCACACCTGACTCCATCCACCTGAACCCCCAGAGGGACCTCTCTGCCCTTCCTTTACTCGGTCGCTTCAAAATATACTGATGAAAAGCTCACTGGTGCTCCCAAGTCCCCCTTTCTTTCTTTCTCCCTTCCCTGCCATGGCCAACCCACACAAAATCACCCACAATGTGGTGTTTACATGGAAAAATATACTGAGGTATGTTTACAAGGTGAATGACACCTATTCCAGGAAGCGGCTGTGGTTTTGACATACTCTGGACAGGCAGCAATGCGGCCAGAGGAGGAGCGCGGGGAAGACTGGAGAACGGGTGTCAGCCCTGGGCATCCTCACCATGTCCAGCCAGGGATAACATTCACTGACAGTGAGGGGGCGCATGGTGGATCCACTTTACCCGTCTTCAGGAACCACGGGAAAGAGAGGTGGTCACCTCAGGGGGAAGCACTCAGCATGGCTGGTTATCAAGGGACCTCCTCACTGCCCTGTGGTCTCAAGACCACCAGGAGGGACCCCCAGGAGCATGGAGGCACCCTCCCCCCAACTGCCCCTCTGCCCCTACCACATGAGGATTAAGGTGATCAGTGTGTGAATTCACTTGGAGAGCCACGAGCCCTCTGCTCCTTAAAGGCACCCCCATAAATAGTCCCGGCTTTATGGAATGAAGCTGTGCAGAGGGACCAGCACACTCTGTGTCTGGGGGTGGTTCAGCCTTCACAAAGTGCCTGCAGACGCCCATGGCCAGAAAACAGGGTGGGCAGTCAGGTGGTGGGGGTCCACGCCATGCACTTTGGGCATCAGAAAGCCTCAGTGGCACGTTCACGGTATTTGCACAAACTAAAAAATCTGTATAGGAAGTGAGTTCAGCGCTGGCCACGGCAGGTGGCCCTGAGGGGAACCGCCCTGCCCAGCCTGCGGCCCCAGGACACCCTTGCAGCCTGCACCAGACGCAACTCCAACAACACATACCCACTGCCGGTGAGCCGCCTCCTTCATGGCCTCTGTGAACGCCACCGCAAACCTGGTAGAGGGCCAGAAACGATGGACACAATTAGGGCAGATGCAGAGACCGTTCTTCGAAGCAAGCCGTGAGAGCAAGGGAAGAAGCTGCACTTAACCCGCAACCCTCGCCATGGCGGTGCAGGCAAACACTCGAGGGCCCACCAGAAGTCCCAACCCCAACTTCTTATTGGCCAGCTAGGAGGCGCCGGGGTCCAGCCAGACAGAAGGCAAGAGGAGCCACGGAGTAAGATGGTCACTGACTGTCCAGGGTGGCTGGCTAGTCCCAGGTCCCAAACAAGGAATGTGCGGGAAGCCGCGGGTGACCCTGGCCCCTGCAGAGACCTGGCTGCCTCCAGAAGTGGGCGGACGCTGGTGTAAGCCCCGCCCCCGCCGCGCTGGAGAGGCACCACTGGCCAGGGAGGAGGCTGAGGCTGTTCAGTGAGCCCAGCGGACCATGAGTCCATGTTGACATAAACGCCAGTGAGTGAGCAGGATGGACAAAAGCCAGCTCCCCCTCTGTGGAACCCTGACTTCCCATGTGCGGAGGGGCTGGAGTGCAAGGACCCCAGGAACAGGAGGCCCCCGGAACAGAGGTCGCCTGCCCTCCAGCCCCTTCCCCAGGTGCTCGCTGCCCCCCC